TGGGCTGGGGGGGTGGGGGGGAGGGTGTTATCAGAGTTCTGCTTGGGGCTCGAATCCAGAGAGAGCTCACCAGCCCAGGGGCCGGCCACACCTGCTTGTCTGTGAAGGAGAGAGGGCAGGTGGGCCGGAGACCCAGGGGAGCAAGCATCTGCCTCCCCCGGGGCAGCGGGGCCTCTGCCAGGTATGAAGTCGCTGGGGAAAGAATGTCCCGGCCAGCTGATGCCTCCCACTTTCTATCTCCAGCCTGGCCCTCCGCCCTGGACTCCGGGCCCATAAATCCAGCTGCCTCCTCCCCAGACCATCATTCCCGATTTCCACTCCCAAAGGCTACTCCTCCTGCTACCTTGGCGCCTCCATCCTTTCTTAGCTCAGGCCCAAAGCCATGTGACATCCTTTTTTTTTTTAATTTTTAAAATAGATTTTTATTTATTTGGGAGAGGGAGAGGGAGAGATAGAAACATCAATGATGAAAGAGAGAATCATGGCTCGGCTGCCTCCTGCACGCCCCCTACTGGGGATCGGGCCCACAACCCGGGCATGTGCTCTGACCGGGAATGGAACCGTGACCTCCTGGTTCCTAGGTTGACACTCAACCACCGAGCCACACCAGCTGGGCTAAGCCCCACATTTGGCTTGGTCCCCGAATGCGAGGTGGGGAGGCGCACAGACCAGGTTCCCGGCACCAGCTGAACCTTGGAAGCTGCCACCAGCTGCCATCACTGGCTGCCGCCTTCAATGCCATGTCTCGAAGCCACGGGTGGTGGAAGGAGAAATCGTGTCCCCCTGGGTAGGACGCTACTCTGATACGCATTTATTAGCAGAGCGGCCGAAGGTGTCAGGAGCTGAACGGAGGCAGCTGCCTCTGGAAGCGAGGCCTCCGCGCAGGGCGGGGGTGGAGGGTGGGAGGTCAGGAGCAGAGACGCTGAGGAACAACTTCTGCTGGCAGGAGAACTGTCTTTGAAAGTTCTGAACATTTTTGCAGCTTTCCTCCCCCTGGGAACCTCCTGACCTGTCAGTCATCTCCCAGGCCCCATCCAAGCAGATGCTCTTCTCCCCACGGCCAGCCGGGGAAGTTCGGTGCCGAGGCACCTCGCCCGCCATGACTGATGTGCGTCTAAAGAAGTCTGTGTTGCCGAAACCGGTTTGGCTCAGTGGATGGAGCATCGGCCTGCGGACTGAAGGGTCCCGGGTTCGATTCCAGTCGAGGGCATGTACCTTGGTTTCGGGCACATCCACAGTAGGAGATGTGCAGGAGGCAGCTGATCTATGTTTCTCTCTCATCAATGTTTCTAACTCTCTATCTCTCTCCCTTCCTCTCTGTAAAAAAATCAATAAAATATATTTTTTTAAAAAAATAAAGAAGTCTGTGTTAATGAGCTCTGTTGTAAACCCGAGGCTGATTCCCCCAGCCTATGTGGCTCAGTGGTTGGATGTCAACCTATGAACCAGGAGGTCACGGTTCGATTCCCGCTCAAGGCACATGCCCTGGTTATGGGCTTGATCGCCAGTAGGGGGCGAGCAGGAGGCAGCCTAGCAATGATCCTCTCTCATTATGGATGTTTCTCTCTCCCTCTCGCTCGCCCTCTCCCTTCCTCCCTCTGAAATGAATAAAAAGATATTTAAAACAGGTTTACATAAGGTTCTTCATGGGAAGAGATTGGTTGAAAGACAGTTTCCCTTTCCACAAACCGGTACTCAACACGAAAACCCTTTATTTTACAGATTAAGACACCGAGGCTGAGCCGAGGTGAAAGCCACGGCCAAGGTCACCGAGCTGAGAAGAGATCCAAAGCTTGGCTCCAAACTCAGATCTTCTGACTCGAATCCAGCGCGGCCGGCCGAGGCAGGAAACCGGCAGGATGGCCCCTCCGGGCCGGCTGCTATGCGCTGGCCCGTCCTCAGATAAGGAGCTCCCGGGAGAGGAAGGATCTGGGACAAAGAAGATCTGAGCGGAGCGGGAGGACAGGAAATTCTGACGGCTGGGATTTTCCCTGCCACCGGGAACCCAGCAGAGGGGCAAGAGGGGCCAGGGTTCCCGGAGACGCCCAGTCACGGTGCCAGGCTCCCCAGCGGGCCCCGGGTAGGCAGAGTCCCTGCCCTCTAGGATCTCACCATCCAGGCAGTCCGATCCCCAGGGTGCAAGGAGATCCTGCCAATCACAGCTGCCGGGGGCAGGGGGGAGGGGGGCTGCTCAGAGAGGAAAACACATTTGACTGGGGCCCTGGGAAAGGGTGGGGAAGAGGGGGCTGGGTAGAGCAAGAACAGGTGATTTTCTTTTTAATATTTTTATTGATTTCAGAGAGGAAGGGAAAGGGAGAGAGAGAGATGGAAACATCTATGATGAGAATCATGGATCGGCTGCCTCCGGCACGCCCCACAGTGGGGATCGAGCCTGCAACCCGGGCACGTGCCCTGACCAGGAATTGAACCGTGACCTCCTGGTTCACCGGTTGACGCTCAACCACTGAGCCAGGCCGGCCAGGCAAGATCAGGTGGTTTTCCAAGTAAAAGAATCAGCATGGGCCATGGCATGGAGGCAGGTGGGAACCTGAATTTGAAACCAGAAGTGGGGGCGTGGGGCCAGGCAGCAAGCTCAGGGCCCCGAGTTGACATGCTCTCGCTCTGCAGGTGGCCGGGAGCCGTCGGAGGTCTGTGCACGGGACAGTCCCAAGGTCAGTGTGTGTTTCTGGCAGTGAGTCCTGGGCGGAGGGGAAGGGGAAGGGGAAAGGGAGGAGATGGAGGAAATGTGGAGGCCCGCTGCTGTGGCAGCTAAGACGCTGCGGGATGAGGTAGAGGCCAGGGAACCAGAAAGGCAGGACTGGTTTTAAGAAATATATTTAAACTATATCTGGCCCAGGTGTGTGTGTGTGTGTGTATAGTGTGTGTGTGTGAGTGTGTATGTGTGTGTGTGTGTATAGTGTGTGTGTGAGTGTGTGTGTGTGTGTGTGTTGTGTGTGTGTGTATAGTGTGTGTGTGAGTGTGTGTGGAAGTGTGTGTGAGTGAGTGTGGAAGTGTGTGTGTGAGTGAGTGAGTGTGTGTGTGTGTGTGTGTGTGTGTGTGTGTGTGTATTTTGTAGGCAGCATGACCAGGCCTTGGAGTGGGGCAGATTGGTGGATTTTTGGTTACCAATAGCCAGGGCCCCATTTCCTCCTAGCAATTGCACAGGCTTATTGGAGTGAGTGTCTGTCACATATGACCAAACGTGTCCCGACTGTCCCAGGTGAGGACGGTGATCCCTTTGAAACACTAGACTTTTGCTCCTCAAGGATCCTCCCCCAGGATCCCAGAGGGGCTGGGGAGAGAAGGGACCAGTCCACTCACACCCGGTTGAGGTTGAAATCCTCATTCTGACACCAGCTGAAATGCAAGAGTTAAACTCTAAGGACGTTTATCACCATAATTAAGCCCTCTCAGAATTAAGCAGGCATTCCTCTCCTCCTGCGATAACTGAACCTTTCAATGTCAAGCTCAAGGACACACACACACACACACACACACACACACACACGGCTTCTGGGTGTAATTCATCTGTCGAGACGGCTCTGCATTAACCCATTAATCTACGTGTGGCTGATGACTCTCAAGGCCACATCTTGACCTTGACCTCACTCAACATCACGGCTGCCTCCCCACCAATCAAAGGGTAAAGATCGCAGGTGGCTGGCTTGTCATATACTCCCTGCCCCCTCCCCCCAACAACTTGACTGGAATATGTGAAGCATTCTGTTTTATACGTTGCCCAGGATTCCACACTCCTCCCTAAACCTTGCCCCCAACTCAGGGAACCCGTTATCTCTAGTACCGGCTCCACGGGTCCCATTCCTTCTGGGGTCACCGCCTCCCCAGTGCCCCACCACTTCTGGGACCACGTGCCCAGCATGGGGAACAGGCAAACCGACCTTCCCCTGGCTTCCTGGGGCTGGGGCCCTGCCAAGATCCCCGACTCCCCAGTACTGAGGGAAGTCCTGGGGACGCCTGTGGTGGCAAAATGGCGTGGGGAACACAGGGTGAGGGCGGGGCAAGGCTGTTCTGCCCTCTTTTCCAGACGAGTGACCAAGGGGGCATGTTCACTGCTGGCTGTGGCAAGGAGCCTCCCCCTTCCGGGCAGGCCCCAGGGGTGGCCAGGGACAGGCGGCCCCAGCAGCTGCCCGTGTCAGGGTGGCAGCTCAAGGCCCCAGCGCTGTTCGTACGGTGGCCCAAGGCCCAAGGACCACCCCGTGTTCAGTGTGTGTAACTTCAAAGCAAACGTTGCCTTCTTTTTAAATATTTTTTTTTTATTGATTTCAGAGAGGAAAGGGGGAGGGGGGAGAGAAAGCGAGATTGAGAGAGAGAGAAACATCTGTGATGAGAGAGACTCATGGATCAGCTGCCTCCTGCACGCCCCCCACTGGGGATCCAGCCCGAAACCCAGGCATGTGCCCTGACCGGGAATCGAACCGTGACCTCCTGGTTCATGGATCTGCACTCAAACACTGAGCCACGCCGGCGGCGGGGTAAGACATTGCCTTGTATCAGGATCCCACGCAAATCCCAAGCCCCAGAGGCATCCATTAGGAGCCAGCTGCTTCTCTGTCTCCTTGGCCGCCAGGTCAGAGAGCTGCGCTGGAAAACGCCTCCCACTGGTTCCATCCCCTGCCCATTTCCACACGGACGACAATAACACCACAGGGACAGCGTGGCCGGGAACGCGTCCCCATGACAAAGGAGGGAACAAAGACAGAGAGCTCTGCCCAGGCTCAGCCCCTCGGGAAGGTCAAGTCTGAGCTTTCATTCCCTACGTGTCTGTAAACTTCCCTCAGATACCAGGGCGACTGCCATTTGTTCCTGTAAAGCTCCGACGCCCATCAGAAAAGCAGCCCCCGCCACGTGGCTGCCCGCTGAGGTCTGGTCCCCTAATACAGGAGGACCTGCCTGGAGCAGGCTGGCCGGCCACACAGCGGAGGCTGAGGCCGGGGTGCC